GCTGGCACTTTTAACTGGATTCTATGACAGTTATTTTCCTAAGGATATTGGTGTAGAAGCTGAGTCCAGATTCACAACCCACTCAGCGAGAAAGCAGCGGGATTGTGGATGAAGGAGAGGGCTCATCCTGCTGGGTTTGTAAATGCAAAAGGACCCGCTATCATTTAGCCTCACAAAGCCTGGCTTTGTGTCGTCGTGCTGAGATGTGCCGTTTTGTGAATTAGCTTCTAGATGTATGTTTGGGGGGCTTTGTTAACTGACTTGCATGAGCTGCCTCTTTATCACGTTGGTAGCTGAGTGTTTTTGACAGTGATTCTTCAGGAGCCACATTCTTCTGTTGCTGCTGGATTTTTTCACTCAGGGGAAATGAAAAGGCAGGGCTCTTGCTTGGGAGCGACTGAGGGACATAAAGATTTCTTCAGAAGGTTTTGTTTATGCATTTTGAGAATTTCTCCTTTTCCWTTTGACATTTTATGTGCATGCTCATTAATTACTGCTCTAACACAGCCTATAATGGATACAGTGAATAGGTGAAGCTTTTTTCCTTTGGGGTAACTAGGCTCACAAAAAGCTTACTGTCTTTTCACAGTATTTAATTTCACTATCCTGTGAGTTACTTTGCAAGCAGGCAGCAAATGAGGTTTTCTTTGGCTGAATGAGTTCAATGCAGCAAGGTACATTGTTGTGCAGGAGACTCGTGTCTCTTTAGCCTTCAAGGTAGACAAGGAAGAAGGCACTTCCTTTTCAAGTTGAGATTATCCAGAGAAACTAGCAACTTGTTTATCAAATCACCACATGACCACAGGAAGTTCCATCTCCAGGTGAGGAGGAACTTCTTCACTGTGAGGGTGACAGAGCCCTGGAGCAGGCTGCCCAGGGAGATTTTGGAGTCTCCTTCTCTGGAGATCTTCCAAACCCGCCTGGATGCCGCCCTGTGCTCTGGGTGTCCCTGCTGGAGCGGGAAGGTTGGACTAGATGATCTCTAGAGGTCCCTTCCAACCTTGAACATTCTGTGATTCTGTGACTACCACGTTATAAAGAGGAAATAAAAATGGCAATAGCACAGCCTAAACTTGTTGGTAGGATGCTCACATCTCTGCTTCCAGAAAGGGCGGGTTTGTCGTGCTAATGGCAATCAACCCAGCATCAGTGAATCCGTGGTGACTACTAAAATACGTCTTTGACAGGATGATTATATGGGATGGGTTGCAAGATTAGACTCCTGCTTGTTTCGCAAGTGAAGGACAAGTGAGTGCACAGAGCAAGGCCGCCTCGGGCGTGCTGGGCTTTGCATCTCATTCCTCACCTTTTGCATACTGATACAGCGGGAAGTGTTAGGGCTCCTGTGTCCTCAGGAGCTGGACTTCACCCCCTGGCCCTAGTGAAGCTCAGTTATTCACACACTTGATGCAATTCAGAAAGCATCCTTATCCTGGTAGTAATAATTGGGTTTCATAGCATATATGTGCCTTTAATGCTTTTTTTTTTCTTTCGTTTTAAGCAGCAAAGTCTTCTGTTATCCAAACCATCTGCTGCTGCTGATTCCCACATAGCAAGTACTTGATGCATGGTGGAAGTACCCTCTGGTAGTGACTTCAGAGGGGCCTTCTCTGCATTCCCACGCCATGTCAAAATACGACTGTTGAGCTACTATTAGAGGAGCTTTCTTTATACATTATTAACTATCATTGACAAATATATAAACTCAATAAATGGGAGTTACTCCTTTTTGACAGTAATGTTTGTTCAACAGGGAGAGTCGGGTTTGATTTGAGAGCRTAGAACCAGGCAAAGAGCTTGCATATCTTAATGTATGCATAAACATGCCAGAGTAGCTGTTTTTCTGAGAAAGTATGAGAAACTCATAACCGGTCTTTGTGTGGCTGYGTACTTGCTTTATTTTTATTCTATTTCATTTTTATTTTTTTCATGATTTGCTTTGAAATGAAGCCATCAAAACTGCCAAATAAGTATATTACATTTGTGATGAGCCATTTAGAAAATACAGAGAAAGGAATAGTCTGAAATGAAGAAAAACTCATCCAGGATTTAGGCTGTATTAACAACAAGTGATGCAGATCTTTTTTGCTGGAATGAGTTGATTTACAGAAAACGTTAAGCATCTCAGTTAAACTGACAAATTATAACATTTACCCCTGCAGCTACTGAAGTGATTTTGGGGATTGACATTTGCCTGTTAGTATTATATAGAGGTAGATATAATCTGCTGCCAYCATCTTCAGCTCTGTCGTATTAGAGGTTGATTATTTAGTACCTCTCTTTTGCTAATGGCCTTTTCATGGGGAGGCGGCCTTACCTGATGGGAAGCTGGACATTTTTAATAAGGTGCTACATTGATTGGTCAGAATGGAAGAGAATAATAAAATTACCACCATCTCTGTGCAATTTGTGAGTCCCTTAAATAGATTTATATTAATTTTCTTTCATAAAGTCTTGTTATGCTTTTATTTATTGAGCAACTTACGGTATACATTTTCTAATACTGCACAGACAAATTAGGCATACAGTAATAGACGTTCACGATAGTGTGAAAGTTTCTCTATGAAGTCTCCAAAGCATAAATGGCTAAACAGTTACTCTAGAGATTGCAAGATCTCACGGTCCTTTCTTGGGAGCTTGSCATTTCCAGGTGGGCTGTGCAGGGACATAGTCCTTCCCCTTTGAGAGCGTTAACAACTATATACACGAAGAGGAGGAGAGGAAATATCTTGGTTTGGTGTTAGAACCTGGGGTCACCGCTCTCCAGAGCTATATAAAGAGTGTCCTGCCTAGGGTGACACCAGAAGCATTCAGCTTGGAGGTAACTGGGCAAAGATACAAGAGCTTCCATAGCTGTTTCAAAGCAACTTACCAGGATTTTGGGAAATCAAGTGCTTCTGGAGACCCAGCAGCGCTACCAGCTCGCTGCCCTCAGTGGATCCCCAAGTGCTCCCCACAACCGCTTCCCCGGAGAGGAGGTGGAGAAAAACACCCAAAAACACATTTTCAAGCATCCCACCTCGCTGTATCTCCCGTTACCCAACCCAGTCCTGTCACAGAGCACGTGGTTCTGCCCGCGGCCCGACCGGGGACCCGCTGCACAGAAACCCCCGGCTCATTGCAACGTGGCAATTAGTGCAAAGCAGCAATTATGTTTTCATTTTATTTTTATTTCTTTGCTTCTGTGGATTATATTTTCCAAAATCATACGCCAAATTCAATTTTTATATATATATATGTTTTTAATTTTGGTCGCCACATCATTTCTTTGGCAGCGTGGTTATTCAGCGTGTGCAGCTGAGCCCCAGGTTTGCAGCAAAGCTGCTGTTTGGAGATGGGTTAATATAGCAGTAGCTTTCCAAATAATGTACGGTTTATTCGGAGATTTATGATTCTGTAAAATTGCCTGTGTTTTATCACAGCTTTGGGCGAATACCCCGCTGCAGGGAGGGAAAAACAAGCCTGGAAAGTGAATCTTGCTGGAGGGGGAATTTGTCTTCTGCTAATAAGCCGCTCTGCGCATAAACAGCGGCCTATCGTGTATCTGTAATACCCATTTCTCCCTCTGCATGGTGTTCCCTGCGCGTCCAGGCCGCCCTACCAAGMTCTGGATAGGGGAATTACCACGTTYGGAAGCCCTGCTTTGTTAGATAGGATGTAATTAATTTGAGCAGATGGTCTGCTCAGAGGTCTGTTACATTATATGAGCAAAACGAGGCTTTTAGGCGGCCTGGCTTTGGGTTCTGTTAGCGTTCATTAGCTTGTGGCGTAAGACATATGCTCGGATAATATCAGCATCGTTATTAAATGTCGTAGGAACGCGTGTGCCCTGCAGCAGGGGAAGTATCCACAGTAACAGCCGTGGAAGCTTTGCTGATTTTTCCATCTTGGACCTGCAAAAAAAGGGGAAAAAAGAGGAGATTTGGGAGTTTCTTGCTTGTTTTGGGGGTATTTTCAATAGTTCAGCTTTGCAGAAGTTGCGCAAAGGACGAGGGTCAGAGGGTGTTGGTATGGAGGAAAACGCACTGGATTGCAGAAAATGGGCACATGGCCGGATTTGTGCAGGGTCTGCATTTCAGCTGGTGGTGGGAGGGTGTGGAATAACGTAAGGAAGTAAAATAAAAAAGACTGTGTCTGCAGGTGCAGGATGGACCGGGGCACTCGCTTGTGCCACTGTCGGCAGCTCCACCTCTTCCAAAGCTCCACCATTAATCTGGCCTAGCGAGGGCTGTTCCTGCAGCTTATGGGGCTTTAGTTTTAAGCCCTCACAGAAGTGATTTGCTACCCTCCAGTTAGGAATTTAAGGGAAAATTAAATTAAGGCTGCCTAAGTAATGAAAGCATCTTTAGATTTGATAGATAGAGATCATCAAAGCAGAAAGCCGGTATCCCTGGAAAGATTTTTGATATTGTTTAGTGCTGGGGGGAGTTACCATCTCTAGTATATCATGGGATATCAGGCCTTACCTTTGTACTCTTCTGCTTCACAAATTCTTTAATCTCTGAAGTTCTTCATTATGTTTGAGGTCATGAATTAACAGATTTCTAAATCAAATAGAAATATTATTTCTATCCTTACGAGGCCTGCAGCACTGGGTTCATAGTTTTGCATAGTTTTGCTGACAGATGGATTAAAGAAAGGTCTTATGCCTTAGGAGACATTGAATTTTTCTTGTATGCTATAAAATGTAAGCCTAGTATTTGTTACTGTGTAACGCGTATTATAGTGTTGCCTGCCTGGTATGGCATGTGTGAAACTATGTGTTTGTTGTTCCTGCTTCTCTTGAGCTGTAGGCCTTTCCTAACCAGAGTTAGAAAAGTAATTTCCATTGAAAAAAAGAAAAAAAAAAGCACGTAAAACTTTATGCAAATCGGAAAAGTAAAGAAATGGCCAATTCTAATCCTAAACTGGAGCTAGAAGAAGAAAGGACCATTCTCTTATCTGTATATAAAATGTATGCCTTACGTTTATCTCTCCTTTCCAATTTCTTCTGTTTTTAGGTTTTCCAAATGAGCCTGCAGCTGTCATTGCCCTTAACACTATTAAGGAATGGTTGAGGAAGAATCATAATGAGGTATGGAATAAAATATATATACCCTTTTCCCAAACTGTTTAAGATTACGGTCTTTGACTCCAAAACTGTGAAAAGAGTAAACACAGACTTGATCTTTGAAAYGCTGATTTATTCTAAAACAGATGAAATCAGGTCAGGACAATATAGCTGGGGGGAGATTGCTATATTTAAAAGCTGTATGGGAGTTAAAGGGAACTACCTTTGTTTGAAGCCCTACCATGCGTTTCCTGTGCATTGTAGTCTTTCCTGGCGAGTAAGAGACTATTCTCTTTCTGAAACTGCTTCTGAGCATCAGAGTTTTCATGTAATAATGAGGACGTTCCTGGAAAGGAAACGTATATACTAGCTGTCAGTGGAAACAGCCGCCAAGGTCAGTGGTTTTCCAGAGGTCACTTTGCAGTGAAGAGCTGTGTGATGATAGCGTATTTTTTGTCTTCATTAACTTTTGGTTTGTCTACAGTTTAGTGTGCTTTTCCTCTGGAACACTTACTAAATATCTGATATGACTGTGAATCTCTAACAAGACGGGTCTTCTTCCAGTGACAGTGTGACAGTGATTATTTTTACRTGACAAAATGCTTTCAGCAGATGATCTCCATACCCTGGTTTCCGCTTTCTGTCTYCCTCTTTTTTTAGTTCTTAGCAGGCTGATAGGATGTGCTCATAGCATTGAGTTGGAGAAAAGCAGCCAAGAAGTGACAGAGCAAATAAAATAATCATGATGTCTTAAACTGAAGATATGCCTGTTTTCTTATAATGACAGCCAGGACACAGCTAGAGTTGTTGAGTAGTTTTGTCTGAAAAAAGTCAACAAAGCATCCGCTKGAGAAGCACTGGATCCAGAAGCATAGTTACTAGTATTTATTCTCTTACAGTGTGTTTTGGGTTGTTTTTTTGTTGTTGTTTTTCTYTTTTTCCAAACAGAATCTGATATGCATAGGTATGAATTTAGCAAGGCTGTTGGCTTGGCTTGGTTTGGTTTGGTTTGGTTCTGGTTTGATTTGAACTGAATTGAAAGGAAACACTACTCTGAGATTGAATGGTGAGTTTTTGGTGGTAAATTTTGATTTTTGATGAGTTTTTGGTAAATGGCAAATTTTTGAACTTGAATTCCAAAAAAATATGGTAAGGGGCACACCTGTTTGGATACTGAATATTCATGGTACTGAACTCTTTACAGCTTCCTGTGAATTAGAGCATAAGAGTTTTGGATGGAAAGTCTTCATTAACACTATAGGTGCCTAAGTGTGATCTTAACAACCTAGGTTTAGGTTTATATTTTTGAAAGTCAAGTCTGTTGCATGTAATTTTTGTGCCGAGGTATGAAGCTAGAGGCTCTGYAGTTGCACTGCTTTGACACAGCCTAATTTCACTTTGTTGTGTGTTTACCCTACAATGTTAATAATGAGCTAGAATCTTTTTTTTTGCTCCAGAAGCTGTTCATTCTCAAAAGCTGAATATACTGTATATATGTACCCCTTAATTGCTTTTCTCTTAATAATATTAAAAGAAACCTGACTTTATTGGTAGAGTAGACTGTGTAAGAAAAACAGAAGTTTTCTGGATGAAGACTATTTTGTTGAAGGTGTTTTGCTCTAAGGTTGGGCCATTGCTCAACCAGCAGCTATAGAAAGGCTTTYAGGACATACGTTGAGTCTTGCCTTTTTCTCCTTTTTTCTGCTTGAGGTCTGATTTTGTGTGGGGCCTCTCCTGTGCCCTGCTGGTCCCCCTGCCTCCTTGCTTTGGCTTTCACTTAGTTACTTCAGCATTTTCTTGGTTTCCTCCTTAGACTTTAGATAAACTCCTCCTCTTGTTCTCAGAAGGCTCCAAGTCCACCTTGGAAGGAGAAATGGTTCCCRGAGCGTAGCAGATAGTGGTTAAATTCACAGCCTTTATCATACATCTTCTTGAAATTTGTCTGAGTTATAAGCAATCTGGAACAGGAATATATCTCAATCTGTGCTTGCCAAATGTCATTGTATTTATGCTCTGCACTAAGTTGAATTATTGCTACTGAGTGTGCTCCGTTCCTCCTTTCCCACTTCCCTCCTTGGCTGCCTAGCTCCAATGAGTGAGCTTCYGCACTCACTTTCTACAAATTCCACTCTCATCTGAACATTTTTTAAGGAAGTAGGTGTAGTTTGTGAAACATTTTTGTCTGAAAATACTTTGCAACCGCAAAACAACAGTTAAAAATTGCTATTCTGAGCTTATATCATAATTGTGTGTGTGTGTGTGTGTGTGTGTGTGTGTGTGTGTCTGCGCGCATTTTGCACTGGTATTACTGGTGCTCCTTAAATGGGGCTTCCCAAAAACTCACTAATTTGAAGATTGATGCAGTTTAAGGCATGCGATGCACGCTTAAATGTTATAGGTCAGTGCATCTAGCAATTAAGAAATAATCCTCAAGAGCTTTGGTCACTTTTTGAAAAAAAAGAGGAGCAGTTGGTTTTACTCAAGATAAGCTTTGAGCATAAAGTTATGGCATCACTGGGTGTCACTGTCTAGAAATAACCTTATATTATCCAGAAGCATAATTAGTAGCCTTGATTTTGTTCAAGAAAGAAAAAAAAAACTTTTTCAGACAATGCTTTATGTTTTTAAGGCTTTTTCATAATTTGCCGATGAGCGTAGAATATGGCATACTAGTATATTTTACCTGTCACAGGTACATGAAATGAAAATATTGACCAATGCTATTGAAGGTATCTTAGGTTAGCAAAGAGGTCATCAAGAAGAATACACTGCTTGGGATGTTGTTCTTTAATGGGGGCAACCAGGTGAGCATCAGTTAGCTGGCCTAAATGGTGGCTCCACACCAAGTGTGCATGATCCRTTTGCATTCTCTTGGATTTGGTTTGGGGTGTTACGAACTGATGCTACACATCGCCCGAAGCTTTCCCCCAATGTAGCTCATCACACTACTGCYGAAATGAAAGGGACTTTCTGTATCCATAAAAGCACTTCCCTCCCCAAGCCTGCTCTTTAAGGGAGGCACGGTGCCTTTTTTTGACCCATGTTTGCAGTATCCACGTGCTGCACCTTTGCTCTCAAAAGTGTTTGACAGCCGTTTGTCCACTCGACATTATCCGGTGCCAGTTTTCCTAAATAAATCCCTTTAACTCCCTGAGCTCAGACAGTGAAATTCCAAGTGCGCCCAGAAAGATTCAGTGCAGGAAAAGACCACTCGCTAGGAATTGCGCCTGCCTGACAATATGCTCAGTAAAAACAGATGATAGGTAAGTAAGATGGGTATCTGACAAATTTTGTAAGTCTTTTGTTGTGCTCCACGGCAGCGGTGTCTTATCTCTCTCCCGGCGTCCCAGGAAACTGTGACCAATCTGTGAAAGATAAGGCATTATATTATATGGAAAGATAAGGTATTGTTTTCTCCTCTCTACCTTCATCTACCTTTGATGCTATAATGAAGATTTTATCCAAGCCAGTATTAATTCAAAATATAAATAAATCAGTGTTCCCATTCCTTAGTCAACACRGGGGCCGGAAAATACAGCCTACATGACCCCGTTCTTGCAAGCGGTGTTAGAGCCTTATGAARTTCTCTGTTATAGTGTTTACAAGTGAAGTGATTTGCATTTAATAAAAGGTTTTCCTACCCCAGCCCATTGTTGTGCTTGACCCCTTAGGTGTTTGCATAAAAACTTATTAGCAAGCTCAACTTCCAGCCTCTCAGATGAATGTCTCATTACCATGCAAATGGAGTTAGCTCCTTTCAGAGGTTAATTGGTACAAAGCAACACATAGATCTACTGTAATTTACTGAACGCTAAATACCAGCCAGGCAGGGCACGAGCCATCCTAGCGTAGCCACCTAAAACTTAACTCCACGGAGTTCACCAGGGAAAACAACAGTGTGGTAAGTAATGGGTTGTACTTAGTTGTATGTAACAGGCAGCACAGTGCTCCTCTTGAAATGCAGCTCTTAGTTGAACTAATTTCTGGTCATGTTTTTACACCAAGGTCTGCTGACTTGCAGCCAGAGGGCAAATCTAGTTTGGAAGCTGGTAAATGGTGTTGTATTGTTCCCATAGAAATCCCTTGGAGCGGACTTGGAGAACGGCAGTAGTCAGCAGTACTGGGTTAATTTACTGCAGACCACCTGGGCTATCTCTTTAGCCAACGACATTTTCACATCTCRCAAAGGGCTTCAAAGGCTTAATGGGATTCTTCGGAGCACAAAACAGGTTTGGATCCCATCCTCTAGGAAATCGTACACTGAGAATCATTAAAAAATGCACATTAAGCTCTTTTAACTGCTCAGGATGTTTCTTTCTGGGATAACTCGGCCAGGTGAGAGGTACTGCCAGTTGCTATCCCATCAAAAAAGAAATGTGACACCCCTAGGCACAGGACGCCCTAATTTGGGGACGTTTCTTGGAGGGGGGAAGAGAAGGGGTTGGTTTTGTTCTTCTTGGCAGGTGTCTCTGAACCTACGCAATGCTAAACGTCTTTGTTTGCTTTTCCTTCAGGATCATGCTGTGTGTCTCAAAAGGGCGAAAAATAAAAAACACTCCGTGTGTGCCTTGCCTTATGTCACTGACAGGAAAAGCCTCAGGACCTTTTCTTTCATGAAAAGGCTTTAATTTAACAGCACATTTAGCTCAGAGTCCTATTCTGTCTCTTGCTCCATATCTCACAATGTTTATTACGCGCCCAGCAGAACAACAAGGGCCGGGAGAGGGGGATTGCACTGTACCTTCCATTGAAACAACTGATGCAGATGGAAAGCACAGAGATGGAAAAGAAATCAACACATTCCCTATTCTTTTTCATTAGAACCACTACTGCAGAGACACTTTCTCTTATTTTGCCTGGGTGCGATGGTAGCTCCGTGGGTTTTAGCAAGTGTTGGTACCATTCGTATTTTTGTTGGCGAGATCTTGCACGTTTCCAGCAGAACRGGATGATCAAAACAGGGCTTAGGTAGCAAGTGGACCTAAAGAGGTCTTAGCCAGCTGGAATATCCTTTTATTTTTTTA